GTGTCTGACTCTCTGAGGGAGGCGAGATGAAAACAAAATCACGAGGTCTTGTAACAAAATATTTTTTTCTAAAAGATTTAAAACAGGCGTTAAAGCTTTCCAGATATTGGGCATCACCTGCCCCTGCAATGACATCGGTTTACTGTAATGTGCAGCATGTTAGCTAAGCAGTTTTATCCTTGTTGAGTGTGATTACTGGGCAGAAAACTTCACCGCTCACTGTCATTCGCCCACTTCTGAGCACTTCCTCCCACTTGTTGTTTTCCTGAAGAGCTCATTACCCTCTACCTATACACTGTAGCTCTGTTCACACATTTCACCTGAGCATGTCGTCCCTTTTCCATATCTGTTCACATGAGTCCCTACTGGAGCAGAGAGATGATTATGTGACAGCCCTACATTGAAAATTAATTACAATTACTGCGCTCAGCAGCACAAACATCTGCATCCACTACATCCTGCAGTGTGAGTTCAGACAAGGACATTCAAAGCCCACTTAGCTGACATCTGAAACGGTCAAGTAAGATAAATTTAAGGTCCACAGTGCAATAATCCTGAATATGGCTCTAATTAGAGCCTGTTTCTATCAACACACACAAATCAAGTTTGCCCAACTTAAACACATGGCCCATCTTCTCCTTCTGTTTACTAATTAACAGAAGATCCGTTGTGTGTCCACTACATTAGACTGGGCCACCCTGTAAGTGTGCGATGGTTCAGCAGATCTGCTCGAGATCATTGTGTGTGCCAAAGTCCTGTGCACTGTTTATGGCAACTGGTACTCACAGTTCTCACTTGCTATAAGCAGACTGTGGGTGGCAGCCATAATTTGTCCTTTATGGTGTGAAAGCTAGGTCATTTAGCACTGTCAAAAGTATTGCTAGACAGACTGTTATTACTATTGAGCTTTCTTACCTCTGTGCCTATCGAAAAGTATCCCAAAAGGTTGTTTGAAACCCATTAACAAAGGACCGGCGACATGCTCCCAGGATAATGCAGTCATGAAAAGTATCAGCCCTGAAACAGGTTCCAGACCATGAGAAGAGTGAGATCAAAAGGTTGAAAAGAAAAAGGAAAAAATCCAACTGTCACCTGAAAGTTTCCAGGAAGTCCCAGCTTCAAGGAAGTGTAGAGAGAAGCCTGTCAAGCTCTTTTAAAGCCTGAGAAATGTAGGGGTGAGTGTTATGAAATAGTCTATAGTGGAAATACTAAAATACAGTGCACATGGTCAGACATAGAGGCTTATATAATGAATAGTTTGATTAACTGAGCAACTAAATAGACTAAATATAAACTGTAGCTGTCAGAATCACAAGAGAGCAAAAAAGTAAAGAGCTAGAAACTGAGAGTTCAACATGGTGCACATGGATGGATAAGGTTAGATACAATGTAAAGACATGTTAGCCGGGACTGCCATGTGACAGTTCACACACACGGATTCAGCATGAAAACGTTCCTTAATGCTTTGTGACACAGCATTTTATGCTGTTTGGACGTACCATGAATTGACAACATTCCCAGCAACAATATTTGGTTTTAGATTATTCAGCCTACATCATTAACTCCAGGATAATCAAGATGCGATTACGGATCCATGCTGCTGTTGGTCAAACAGCATTTTGTTGCTGTTTGCTCATTTAATGGTTCTTAGCTCACTGGAGTTGAATGTTCTTCTGCATCTGATTTCTAAAGGCTCTAGGGTTCCCAAAGTTTCATTTGTCAAATTGCCATTAACTTGCTTGCTTGTGAGCTTGAAAACATCTTTTATTTTTCCTCTGAGCATCCACATCACAGAGCCAAGTTTTCAATTCAAAACACATTGAACAGCATATAATGAGGTTATATTTGAACAAACAAAGTGGCTTCAACAAGCTGATGTTAGCAGATGTCTGTATGGTTTAGTTTATTATAATATGCATTTGTGAAACCTTAGTTTACAGTAATGAAGAATTCATTTCCAGCCATAATTATGCTTTACATCTACTACTCATATACTTTAGGTACATGACAGACACTTCTGCTCATAGACATTCATGGTGGACTACCCTCTGGGAACTATGTGCTGTTGAGATGAGTTTGAGTAATGGGTTGGATCCATTGCTCCCTCTCTCTTTGCCTCTCATCCCCTTTCCCTGAATGGCTCTCAGTCAGCTGGGGACGGTGATGTATTGATGCACTTATCCAGCTGCAAACCACTGGGATCCAGTGTGTGCTAAAAAGGAAAATCAGCAGTAGAGCCAGAAAAAATTCAGAGAAGATGAACACTTTTTTCTCTTCTTTTTTTCCATTAAGCATGGCCACACACTTTTACAAGCTTCTACTGTGGTGTGAATGTTATAGCTTGATAAAAGTGCCAATCAGTCTACCCCAGTGACATTCCACCAGGAGACATAGACAAACAGGCTGAGACAAACGGCACCCAGTAAGAACCATCTCTCTTCTGTAACCTCCCATGCCCTTGATATCAGGCATGATTAGTGAGGCTGGCTGCAGCAAGGAGCATGGGAAATCCCTGTTTGGAAAATTCTTTATCTTTATAATGTCGGGTGCTTTTTCTCCTTTGAATTGATGAACAAAGTGAATATGTAAAGGCAAAGGTGAAGTGATCATTAGCTTATCTTTGCACATATGTCACTCCTTTGTATCAGTGTTTTTTTTTTTACTTTCTCAGAACTAATAGTGCCATTAACCGATGTGTGTGGATGAGCTGGTACCACCTGTGAGGCTACAACAATAATAAGAGCAGAGACCCAGTTAAATGAGGCAAGGGCTGTTAGCGAGACGTTATGCTTCATGAAGCAAAGGAGAGAGTAAACTTCTGCTCCATCTGCAACCAGCTGCTTCGCCTCTCTTCACCTCTTTCTGCGTGGACACATGGGGAATTACCTCATCGGGCACACAGCGCTGTGTTGATACAGCCTCTGTTTTTGGCCTGTAAATAGCTTTGTGGTCCTGTTTAAAGCCTCTCCAAAGGATTCAACTTTTTGTTGAGTAAGAACAGAACTTTCTTGAGAACACTGAGCCCCCTTGGTATCTAACAAGTGTGCTCCAAAATGGACGTTACAACCTAAAATGCCCTTATTAGTCCTGGAATGGTTACAAGCCTGCACGTCTGAGATATTATCATGTTTGCAATTAATCTTTTTTTATCACCAATTACAGAAAACCATACAGCTACAAACTCCATCATGCACGGCCACGGTATTACATTTCTAATGAAAATAAATGAACCTACATTAATTTGCTTTACTGCAGAGACAGTAAAAGCCTCCTTTAACTAATCCAACAGTGAGGAGGCACTGTATGACTGTAATGAGCTGTAATGAAAATCAGATGACTATAGCGGAAGCTTCATGCCAATAAAAAATTTGTTCTGGGAATTCAAAATTATATCAACCAACCACATATCCTGTGTCACATGCAAAACATAAATTATATAAATAAGAGTATGTAGAGTTTAAATTATGATAACATCTTTATTTTCCATTGGCTTAGTCACAGCATATAGAAAGTGAAAAAAACAGTCATACAAAAATAAAGTGACTCTGAGGATTGTCTAGTCAGTACATGGCTTTATATGAAAAGTCAGATGTAGCCAATGATATCTTTGCAGATTATGGGATGTCGGCTGCCTGATTTCATGAGGGCCGCAAAGTGGTAAAAATCTGTGTCCAGCTCATTAATGCCCGAGTGGGACTGGTGGAAAAAAGGGACTTTAGCCTGTGATGCCACAACTGGACAGGACAGACGTTTTGGAGCATTTGCAGCTCTGTTAACGTGAGCTGCAGAGTCTGTGGATCTGATCTTCACTCTGTCCTCTACACTTTTAGAAAGCCCCACCAGTTTCCTCCTCATGTTGACAAAAAAACCTCTTCCCAGTCCACGTCTTGAATTTGGCTTTAGCTCGGTGGGCTCGGGACAATCTGGCAAGTCCATCCAGTTCTGTATGAGGTCTGCAAAGCTGTTGTCACCTAGGACCAGAGGCTGCCGGTTGCGTCCTCTGGTCAATAAAGAGTTTGTCCAGTCTTCTGGGTCGCTGACTTCAAACGATGTCCACCTCTCTAGACAGGCATCAGACGTGGACTTGGGTCGAATACGTCCGCTTGGTGCTCTGTTTGTGCGAAGGCAGGCTGAAGATGACACCCGCACGTTCCTCGTCCTCCTGAGGATCAACGCTTCATCCTGCCACGATGCCTCAGAGTAGCCTGAATCAAACTCCAAACTTTTCTGGCTGCTGGGAGACCCCAGGCCTAGTCTGAGGCTGCTTGAGTCGTCATCCTCCTCTTCCAGAGGACTCCCCAGGCAGCAGGCAGAGTCATAGGTGCTGGCTGTGCTGGCATCAGACATCCGCAGGCGTGTGCGCTGTTCTCGTTGCAGTGCTCGCTGCTGACAAGCACGTGCCACAGCAGAGTGGCGCACTAAAGCTGGGAGTTGGGTGCTGATGGGAGCCAGGGGGCGTCTGGCTGCAGGACAGGTTTTCCGCAGTTGTTTCAGGTCTTGCAGTGACCTCATCATATACTGCATCTGGTCCCGTAGGCAGTCGCCTGAGTCACGCAGGCAGAGCTGAGGAGGCAAAAGAGAGAAAGTCAGACAAAAGCCGCCAGCAAAGGCATTTGGAAAAGATCTGGAAATTTCAAAGCCTTTCTGATGAACTGTTTGCAGAATGGCTCTAATAATAACAAGAGTCGAGTATGGCAGGGATTGCTTCGAGGGCATGCTCAGGCCTGCATGCAGTAAGTCTCAACATATGAAAGAAGAACACCTTTTCACTTATTGTAATATTGAAGGCTAGCCAACCTGCTGATCAAAGAACACTCGTCAATAGAATAATTAAAACACAAAGCAAATGTATCTGTCCGTTAATTTACTCTGCCACGCCAACAACATAAGTGAACGCCCAATTTTCACTGACTCAGGCGTGATTCAACTGAAAAGTCAGACAGATGTTAGTACAGAGAGGGCTGCGCTGATCTAACCTCAACTATTTATCTACATACTGAGAGAACTCCAGGAGCAAAAGTAAAAACATCTGCAGTATATCAAGGAGCAACTGGGCTCTTGTTGATCTTGATTTAGCTACAGAGGATCTGCCTCTTTAAGGGTGTAGCGTGCCTGCCTATGAAATTCACCAGTGACACACTAAAGAATATAATACTCCTGTTTCCTCTCTGACTCACTGTGCTGATTGGTCGGAATCAGCCAGTGAGCAGCAGTGGCTGATTCTCAAACTCAAACAGGGCATAGGAGATCATGTGACAGTGTGTGTGTGTGTGCGAGAGAGTTCAAGAGTAGACGTAAAGCAAAGGAATAAAGATGAGGCCCCATATCCTTAAACACAGTCTAGCCTAGTTACTGTATGTGTTAATAACATATTATATGTACTTTATTTATATGTACTTATATGTACTACATAATATATGTGCAAGTACTTCTTTCCTATATGGGTTGCTTCATTTAAATCTGATTATCAGAGCTGAGAAAAATGCTGCAAAAGTCCTCTAGCTAAGAGCTGACAAAGAGGTGAGATGTGTAGGCTAAGTAAGAGCAGCAGAGGAGAAACACAGGACACAGGCTCATATGTGGCCAGAGAGGTCACATCCAACATAACAGCACACTCCTTTTCTCCACTGATGTCAGTACACTAACCTTTGAACCTGTACGACCCCTCTGCTCTGAGCCTACACTGTCCATTTAAGCATTTGACCCTGCTGCAAGACCTTCAGTCCCCATTTGGTTTTCATCATAACTCAGCGAGATGTTGCAAGAACTTGAGAAAGTCCCAGACACACATGAAATGAATAAAGCAGGAAGTGCAATACAATCCTATTCAATATATTGCAATATAATATATATAATATAATGAATATAAACTGCATTCCTACTCATCAAAACCAGTCAATGTAAACTGTTACACATTTTCATGTGCTGCATAACTTTGGAAAAAGAACTGCACCAACAATGCTGTTGTTGTTGAAGGAGGACTACCAGACTGATCTTCTGTTCAGATTACACTACATATGGTTAAAGCTATTTCTCATGTTATTTGCAATACCAGAAGAGCAAATAATAGTAACCAAAATAAGAGTTTTGTTCAAGAAAAAGATGAAAAATAATATAAAAGTATAAAATACATGATAAACTCACCATGTCTTTTCCTCTCATCTGTAGGCCTAAAACTCAGATCCTGCAAGACAGATGATGGAGCCGTTTTAACACCACACATAAACTCAGAATCACTCTAAGAAATCAGAACAGCGTGTAAAAAAAAAAAGTAGGCAACACAAGCACACACACACTCACTTCTAATGCAGCAGCCTCCGTCCAAAGGGGAATAACGTGTCTCCTTAAGAGGGAAACGTCCCGGTTCGTTCAGAGGTGTTGCGGACTACAGTGTCACCAGTAAGGATCCAGTCCTGATTCCAGCCTGCTTGAACAGAGGCAGATGTGCTGAGTGACTCGTTCAGCCCTGCTCGCCTCCTTTTTACAGCTCCGCGCTCAGCAGCCAGTCACAGCGACTTGAGTCTGAATGAGCCAATCAGAGCGCAGGAAGCTCAGCGCTCATTTGCGAACCCAACTCCAACTCTGCAAGAGATGCGAAGAAAAGACCCTTTAAATTAGACCTTAGACCACCACAGGATACAATATAGGGATTTATTTTTTTAGAATAGCTTATAAAGGTGGTCTAAGGTCAGAATAGTTCCATCTACATTCTCAGTTTATTTTGGAAAAGAGCTGAGAGACCATCAGGAAAAGTTTTGTGGACATTCTTTTAATCTCTTTTTTTTTTTTTTTTT